GAATCCTAGTTGAACCAATGGTGGAAAGTTGTAAGTTTAAACATTTGAATCCTAGTTTAACCAATGGTGGCCACTGGGGCTTAGCTTGTAAGCTTCCACATCTTTCATCATACTTTATTTATTTGTTTTCTTAGTTATGTGATTTCCCTCTACATGATTCTTGCTATTTTTGACATCTAGGTTTAAAATTCCCTTACATGCCTCGGCGACAAGTGATGTAAACTGAGGTACCGTGTACTCTCATGAACAAGTAGTTTTTAAAAGTTAAAAGGCACGGAAAAGTATACAAAGATACCATTACTTTTGGTGTAGGGTTTGACACTAGTGATTGCAAGAGTATCATTTATTAGATTCAAAGTTCAAAAAAAATTTCTCGAACATTGTGATATATTCTAGACCATCTAATTTGATATCTAATGACTAGAAGTAATTATGATCTAAGTGTAACAAAGATCACTGGTCTCATAATATAAATCCCAAAAGATATTGTACTCCTATGGGAGTAGAATGTCCATTTACTCTCTGGGGTAAAAACACCTAGAAATAGTTTTAGGACCTTGAATTTTAGGGATATAGCCTCGTCAATCCATAGATTACTGTCAATAAAAAAACATTTCCTAATTGTACCTTTAGTGCACTTGAAAAAGAAGAAGAATGGCTTGAGATTGATCAGAGATCATGCAATTAGATAGTGAGATCTAAGTGTTAGAAAACTCAAATTTTAAATTTTTCTTTTTCTGAGAATAATCATCTAATAATTCTTAAGTGTTTCTAAATAATTCCACATTGAAAAAATCTTCCCAAATACGTCTTCCAGCCAAGGGAGTAGAACTAAACTATGCTCCCGATGGAACATAGTATATGTATTCTTTTCAAAAAAATTGATCTTGGCACTCTACCGGGTCATAGCCAAAATTAAGTCAATTCATTAGCTTAAACAGTATACTTGGTAAACCTTGGCATGTTTTTCAAACATTTGAGTGAAATTTTTTTAAAAAGCCAGATAGATGTTAATAGAAAACAAATCTAGATCCTTACTAGTGCGGCGATAGCAGCATTAATGCATCAGAACTCCATTGATTGCGCAAAAGTGTACTAGGATGGATGACCTCCTGAGAAGTCACTGTGTCGTACCTATTCCAAAATTTACTCTTGAAAAAAATCTAGCTCATTACCCAACATACATGACACTTGAACTTTTTTTACAGGTTGAACCACAACAAAGTTATGGTTGATGAAAAACTCAGGGAACATCCAGATCTTTTATAAATCAGCAAGAGGATGATGGAGTTGACTCGATGACTTTCTTCAAGTTGATAAGGAGATTTAACCAAGGCCAGGCTTTAGCATGCTCACCATTTGCATCCATTTCTTATTACAAATGGAAGGTGGAAACAAATATGCATGGAATGTACGGTTCGTGTCTCCCTTGGTATATATATATGATTATTGACTTTGTATGGTTATGATGTTATGATTATTAACTTTGTATGGTTTGGATTTATTTTTTATTATAAATTTGTGGTCTTGCCGGTGCTTCTCATTTTTATTCAAATTTGCTGAAGGTGCCTTTGTCAGACAACAATAAGAGCCGTGTGTGACAACTCCATATATTTTGCTTTTATTTATTTAAAATAAAAAAAAAAAAAGTAGTTGTCTTTTATCTTTTTTTTTTTTTTTTTTGAATGTTCACACATGAGTGTTGCTCTACAATCGTATCCTAATGCTTTCATATTATTTGTTAAATACAATTTCGTATTATTTGGTAAATGCAATTACGAAAAATTACTATCTGATGAATGTTTAGCATCTGCTGTGCTCTGATCCGTATGTAGAGAAATTTTCGGATGTTATTTTGTGGGAGTTTTTATGCACTGGAATTGTATGTGAGAGTGAGAGTGAGAGTGAGAGAGGGAGAGAGAATTCATGTCTATCAGATCCTGATGAATAGAATTTTGATTCACGAAGTAACATATTTTGGACTACTAATTTAACTTAAATTTCTTTTGATGAACTATTGTTATGAGCAATGTTTGAGAAAGTCAGAAAACAGATTCGATTGGTTGTTCAAATCAGTAAATCAGCCAACCAGCTTTAAAAGATTTCCAAAAAAATCATTAAAAATTATTATAAATATTGTTTTTGAGTTTCCAAAAAAATGGGAAAGTGCATTATGTACTTTTATTTTTGTGCAAAAATATATGAATATTGAGACTTTGTTTCATTGTCTGAAAGTTTATTGATAAATACATTCACATCATAATGAAAAAAGAGCATATAATTATATGGACATGAACACATGGTAAAATAAAATATAACCTAATACCAATATGAAAAACAGGGTCGCTCTTTCTCCTCATTACGTTCTTGACGGTCTTTGTCGACAATTTCTTAACGCAATGAAGAACTAAACCTGGAAACCACACATCACAAAAGAAACCTTATAAAGCAAACTGGCATATTAATTGTCCAATAAATATAGAGGACAATGTCATATATCAATTTTTTTTAAAGAACGGATTCAAAAAAACATTAAATATGACAATAATTATTTAAAAAATAGAGAAAATTAATAATTATTATAATTATAATTGCCAATCTAATACTTTTTAAAAAGGAATTATACAAATACTCTTTTGTAATAACTCATAAATAACAACTTTTAAGATATTTTATTTTAAAATAAGTATAGAACAAAGGGAATTCAATATAAACCCTAAATACATAGAATTTCAAGTAAAAAAAAAAAGATATAAATGTTATAACTAAATTGTAATTATATTCCAAAAAATTAATAGTCGACCTCAATTAATTGAGAAAAGGCTTTGACAATGATGATCTAAAAAGAATAATACCCGGAACCAATATCACCACGCATTTTGCCAATTCCCCTACTACATATAATAAATGATTTTTTAATTCCCTGCAACGTGCTTCCTTAACGCCTTACATAAATTAAATCCTTAAATAAATTGTATCTATATCTTAGTGTGTTAGCCAATAAATAATTTTCTTTTCCCTTGCTAGTATGCTTCCTTATGAATTATTTGGGACCTATAATATGCAAATCCGTTTGTTGCATATCTAGTTTTGATGGCTTAAGGTAATTTTGAGGCTTATTTTTGGAGATCATATCTCGGATATCTACATCCGCAACCACAACCTCAAAATATCTCATGTCCAACATTTGTTCATTTAAAAAAAAAAATTGGAATGAGCAAATGCAAGGTTTAAGAAAAGCTAGCTTTAATATCCAACCACACGAGATGCCGAAGAATGCTTGCTGGATTCATGGTCTTTAGCCTTTCCTCTCGGGCCTCTTGACCCTCTTCTCCTTCTTTGTTTGCTGCTGGCTAGGGAGAGCTCCCTCTCTTTCTTTCTTCTTCTTCACACCATTACTCATCGCTGGCTGCTGCCCTTTGCCTTTCGGCATTCTGCGGTAGTTTGGGATGTTGTTTGACTCCGATGATCTTCACATAATCGAGGACTTCTCAAGTGTTAGTAATGCAAGCTAGTTGCAGGTCGTTCCCCTCTCTATTTCCCATGCCGTTGCAGCTTGTGGACCCTGTGCTGTTAACGGATTTAGCACCCTGTTCTCTGAAGAAGCTCGTGCCTGCTGTTGATGATTTGCAGACGCTCTCCCTTGTGGCTGTTTCTTTGGAACCTGAGCACACAGCGACACTAGCTCCTGGTTCTTTTGAGGAGTCTGAGCCTGAGATGTTCAAACCTTTCAAATCTGTTGCTGATGAGGTGAAGAATACTTTCGATGCTGATCCTTTCCCTGCCCCAACCAACAACATTCATGCTGCTGCTGAGCACACATCGGCACTTGCTCTTGGTTCTCTTGAGGTGTCCGAGCCTGAGGAGTTTGAACCTTTCGAATCTAACGCTGATGAGTTGCATTGGATGTTGATCCTTTCCCTGAAGCTGATGAGTTGCAGAACCCTTTGGATGTTGATCCTTCCCTTGCCCCAACCAGCAATGTTGATGCTGCTGCTCCACCTCTCGTGGTTTCTACTGCGCCTGTTGGTTCCGAGCCTTTGTCTCGTGAACCTTCGCTTCTGGCGGTACTCTCTGATAAGCATTCCACTTACTTAGATATGTTTGATGACATGGGCGCCTCTTTCGGGTCTCTTAGAGCCAAATACTGGACGCCATGGATGCAATCATTTTGGTGGACACCTTGCTCCCTCTAACACCCCTACTGGCTGCCTCTTCTGTTACTCAGGGAGGTCCTGCGATTGCCGACATAGCGGTGCCTGATGTTGCTGTCGAGACTTCTCCTATCTCTATGCCTTTGGTCCCGGTAACTGAAGATGTTGTTTTGCCTTTGCTGTCGGACACTGAAGTTGCTTTGCTTGCTGCCTCTAACACTGTGAAGGCCAAAGGAAAGCCTAGAACCTCTTTACCTAGGTGATCCTTTGCGAGAATTGCTGCTCACGAAACCCCTCTTCGGCCCTCAGGTGGAGGTGCGATCATCCATTCGAGCCCATCCTCTTATGAGCCTCTCGACTTCTCTAGCAGTTGCAACAGCTCCTCCTCGATGTATTATGGACCTACTGAAGATGTTGACTTCGACGGTCCAAGTGAAACTTCCTCCCTCCATGAAGATTATTAACTGGAATGTCAGAAGACTCGGTGAGGAGCACCGAAGAAAAGAGGTTCTTATGTTAGTGAATAAATCTAGACCTTATGCTCACCAAAAGGAAATGCCGTACTCTTTTGGATGCCAAGCAAACTTGGGGTAATAGATCTTTATGTTTTGAAGGGTATCAACGTTGTTGGTAGTTCTGGTACCTTATGGGTTCTCTGGGACCCTATGGCTCTCCTCTGCTATCAAGTTTTGAAATCTGACAGGTTTTAAGCCATCATCTTTGAAGGTCCGATTCGGAACTTCTGTTGGGTTCTCATTAACGTTTATGGGCCTACTCTCCTGCTTTAAAATCAGCTTTTTTGGATGATGTTAAGGATAGTATTGTCTCTACTGGTCTTCCTGTGTGCATTGGTAGGGACTTCCATCAAATTCGTCATCGTGATGAAATCTCTTTTCCTTCACATATAAACTTGCATATGCTTTTGTTTAATGATTTCATTATGGGCAATAGTCTTATTGATCTCTTGGTGACTGGGGCTCATTTTACATGGTCCAGTAATTGCTCTAACCATCTTATTTTTTCTAAATTGGACTGGTTTTTAGTCTCGGAAGCTTGGGAAAGAGTTTTTCCTTTTGTAAAAGTCAATACATTAACCAAGTTCTCCTCCGACCATTTGCCCATTTGCCTGCACACTGAGCATGTGATTCCTGGTCCTAGACCTTTTCGACTTGATATTGGTTGGTTGAATGGATCTGAAGTTGTTGATTGGTAAAACAGGCTTGGGCTAGTTGTTATGTTTTTGGCAAGGCTGGGTTTCTTCACAAAAACTTGATTTCTTTAAAATATAAAATCATTGCCTGGAAAAAATAAACTCAATATCAAATCAAAGGCAAGATTGAGACCACCATTATGGATTTAGAATTGCTTGAAAATTCAATCCAAGATAACCATGCTATGTCGGATGATCCTTTAAGCAACAAACAGGTGTTGCCTAACAATCTGCATGAGTATCTTAGATTGGAAGAAATGTATTGGAAATAAAGGTCTCGCGTTAAATGGCTTAAAGAAGGAGACATGAATACGAAATTTTTTCATGTTATTACTAACGCTCGCAGAGGGCAGAATGACATTTACATGATGAAAATGCTAGGTGTTTCTGAAGATGACTCTGCTGGTAAGGACAATGCAATTATTAATCACTTTCAGAAGGCCTTCTCTTTGAGTACCAGCTTGGGGTTTATCAGATGGTGTTCCTTTCAAAATCTCTTCCACCACATCTTGTTGAGGAGCTTGAAAAGGATATATCTGAAGAAGCAGTTAAACATGCAATTTTTGTTCTCTTAGGCGACAAGGCTCCAAGACCATATGGTTTTCCCCTTATTTTTTTTGAAAGATTATGGTATTTGCTCAAGACTGACATTTTGCTTATGGTTCAGGAATTTATGAGTACGAGTCTCATGCGCAAGAGTATTAACTCTACTTATATTTCCTTTATTCCCAAGAAAGATATTATTGTAGATATTGGTGATATTAAACCCATCAGTCTTCTTACCGGTCTCTACAAAAATATTGCAAAAGTTCTTCTTGAGTGTCTCAAATCTGTTCTCCCTTTTGTTGTTTCAGGTGAACAATCTGCTTTCATTCGTGATAGAATGTTCATGTATATCATCCTTATTGCTCAGGAATGCATCCACTCCAGATCCCTTCAAGATAGAGCATGTGTGGTGATAAAACTAGACATGGAGAAGGCTTTTGATAGAGTTGAGTGGCTAGTTTTACAAAAAATTATGAGATATGTGGATTTTGGTTTAAAATGGATTTCTTGGATTCTGTTCTATTTTTCTTCGGCTCATTTTTCCATTCTTATCAATGGAAGCCTGAAAGCTTATTTAAGGAAACTAGGGATATTAGACAAGGAGACCCTCTATCTCCTTTCCTTCTTACCCTAGTTGTTGAGGGATTCAGCCTGATGCTAAACAATATTGTAAGCAAAGGTTGGATGACGGGTTTCAAAGTATCTGATCAGGGGCCTCTTATCTCGCACTAGCAATATGCTGAGGGCACTCTAATTTTTTGTGATGCAGATCCTTCTCAAATCAAAGACCTTAACACTTTTCTTTTTTGTTGTCATTTAGACTTGGGACTTAAGGTCAACTTTCATAAAACCTCATTGGTTAGGGTCTCTTGTAGCTATGATATTGTGGAACCTCTTGCTCTTATTCTAGGTTGTAAAGTTGATTAATTCGCACTCAAATACTTGGGGGTTTCTTTCTCTGATTCGAACCTTACTTGAGCAGTTTGGGATCCACTAATTAACAGATATCAAGTTAAATTTGATCTCTGAAAAACCAAGACTTTGTCCTTGGGCGGTCGTATTACGCTGGTCAAATCCACTTATGCTAATTTGCTTATTTACTTAATGTCTTTATTGCAGATGCTTGGGCATGTGATTAAAATTGTTGAGCGTTATATGCTCACCTTCATCTGGCGGTTTGTTGATGAGAATCAGCGAAAATATCATCTTGTTGCTTGGGACAAAGTTTGCACTCCAGTTAATATGGGAGGACTTGGTATTCGTAAATTAAAATCAATGAATCTGGACCTTCTCTCTAAGTGGTGGTGGAGAATTATTCAAGCCCCAATCACTTGTGGAAATAAGTCTTGGTGGCTAAATATGGTTTTGACCATATCTCTCACCTTGTCAAGAAGGGACGTGGTGGTAATTTTTTCTCCTAAATTTGGAAAGATATTTACAGCTTTAAAAGAGTGGTCACTAGCACTGTCAGGTGGCTTATTGGCAATGGGGAGAACACCTACTTCTGGTTTAATAAGTGGATAGGGGACTGCCCCCTATCTCAATTATATCCATATCTTTTGCTAGAGTGTCACTTCATGCGGCAAGAATTATGGATCTCACCTCCCTAGCCTCCTCCTCTTTGGATCCTTTTTGGGATATTAAATGCACTTATAATAAGCTGTCAAACTTTATTGTTTTGCAATATCAAAAGCTGTTAGAAATCTTGCAAGATGTGTATCTCTCTAATGCATGTTCAAATGGACTCTTCTCGGTGAAATCTGCTTACTAGTTGCTTTATCATGATCGGGTTAGATGGTCTAATTCGGCTCTTGGATTTGTATGGAAATGGCTTGTTCTGGTGAAGATTAGAGCCTTTCTCTGGATAGCTTTATAAGGAAAATGCCTCACATTTGACAATCTTCGTATTAGAGGCAAGATCTTACCAAATATTTGTCTTCTCTGCAAGGAAGATGAGGAAATTGGGAACCATATTTTTCTACACTGCTCCTTTGCCTCCATTATTTGGAGCGGGGCCTTGGATATCTTGGGCTAGTTTCTTATGCTTCTTGGAAGCTTAATTGATATCATTTTGCAGCTTGCCCCCTAAAGGTATTCTGATTTGGAAGATTTTTAGGGGTGCTATCATATAGCATATCTGGTTAGAGAGCAACATGAGAACTTTTGATAGGGTATCTCTCTCTGCTAATTGTATTAAAGACCGTATTTTGTAATCCCTTTGGGACTGGTTGTCCTCCACCCCAGAAGGTCGCGGTGTTTCCTGAACTGATATCTACATCAATCTAAGGAATCTTGTCTTCTCCTATATTCCTAGCCCTCGGCCTAGCACTTTTTGGAGACAACCTTCTGTAGGGACGCTCAAGCTTAATTTCAATGGCAGTCCCTTAGGCAACCTTGATCCTGGTGGCATTGGTGGCTTACTTAGAAACCATGATGGTTCTATTATTTTCTCTTTTGCCCATCCTTGCGGCAACACCACAGCCAACCAGGCTGAAATTTCAACCATGTTACAAAGGCTAGAAATTATCGTCAGCAAAGGTCTCTAGTCCGATTCTTATAGAAGGTGATTCCCTCAACATCATCAAATTAGTGTAAGCAAGGGCAAAGGATTCCTTGGCCTCTCCATGCCTTTGGGCTGAAGATCCTTGACCTTTGCTCCTCTCCCGGCCTCCACTTTTCTTTTACTCATGCCTACCGAGAAGCCAACGGGATAGCAGATGAACTTGCAAAATTTGGCATCACTTTATCTTCTTTGTTAATTTCTGATACTTTAATTTCTACTCTATAATTCGATGCTATTATAACACCTTCTCAATAAAAGTTATAACATTGTCCAAAAAAAATATTATAATAAAATATTTGTATTTTATTATGATATTTTAATATTATGATATTATATTAATACTATCAAAATATATTATATTACTATGTAATTGTTAAAATTGTGATATTATTAATTATAATATCTACATGTATTATTATTATTATTTATGATATTTATTAAATGAAATATCATCAAAATTACTAATATTAGTACTATTATATAATACTATTTTGGTCAAGAAACATCATACCATAAAATGAGTGTAGCTAAGATAAGGATGTTGAGATGCATGAGGGGCATGACAAAAAAGGTAGAATTCAAAATGAATACAGTTGGAAAACTTTAGATGTGGCACCAATAAGCGATAAGATGCGAGAAATTAGACTTACCCGGGTTGGCCAAGTATGGGCCAGACCCTATACAGCATCTATTTGCAATAGGATCCCAAATCCTATAACCTCTATCATCACTACCATACCCAAGAAGAGCACATCTTCTTGACTTGGAATCCAGCTTGGCTCTACTTTCATTGGGCACTTGAACATAAGCTTCACACCCAAATATTATCAAGTGTTCATATGACATACTTTTACCTCTCAATAGAATTTCAAGTATTTCACCATCCAATGGTGCACTGCGAGATCTGTTGATCAATTATACATTTGTACTAGCAGCTTCAGCCCAAAATTGCTTACAAGACTAACATGCTTCTTCATCTTTCAATGATGGTCTTATTCATCCTCTCAATGACACCATTTTTTTGTGGTGTCTCAAGAACAATCATTACTATGCAAATGTCATTGTCTTTATAAAAAGTATCAAAAGCATTCGGGCAATATTCACCACCGTTATCAGTTTGTATGCATTTAATAAATCTCTCTGTTTCTTTTTCAACCTTGGCTTTGAAAACCTTGAAAACTTTAAAAAGTTGATCCTTAGATGCCAATGGATACAACCAACACTTTCTAGAATGATCATCTAAAAAAGTGACAAAATAGGAAGCTCCACCAAGAGATTTAACATTAACAGGGCCACAAACATCAGAATAAATAAATTCTAATGCTTTACTTTTTCTATGAGATTCATTTCTTTTAAAACTAACTCAATGCTGCTTACCCATGGCACAATAATCACAAAAAACAAAAATGAATGTTTAGAAATAGGAAAAGGATTTTGAGTTTGCAATACCTTCATATCATGCTCATTGTGATGACCCAAATGACTATGCCAAAGCTGTATATCCTCATGCTTACTAACTGCAGCAACAATTTTCTCTGTAGCATCATTCCTTTGAGTTGTGCCATGAAAAGTGTAGAGACTCTCATCTTTTTGCCTTTCCAACATTGTTATACAACCTCTTGAAATCTTTCATGACCTATTTTCAAAAATCACTATGAAACCATAGTCATCTAACTGCCCGGCTGAAAGGAGATTTTTCTTCAACTCAAAGACATGCCTCACGTTTCTCAATGTGTGCTTATTTCCATCTAATTGCTTGATAACAACATTTCCAATGCCCAAGACTTTACAAGCTCGATCATCATCACGATAACCCAAGCCACTATCTACATCTGTGTAGGATGAAAAGTATGACCTTTCTAGGCAAACATGAAATAAAACAATAGAGTCTAAAACCCAAGTATCTGCAATAGACAATGTTGTGCATGCAACACTAAAAGTTATTCCATCTTCACCATCTGAAACTGTATTTGCTTCGGCATGGCTATCCTTGCCCTTACCTTTTGCTTATTCTTCAAAGCATAACAATCTTTTCTTGTATGACCAGGTTTCTTATAATATCAGCAAGTAACCTTCTTGCCCTGTGACTTGGACCTACCTCTACTATGAGATTTACTCATATTAAATCCATAAGGTTGGTCACTATATTGTGTTTTTCCTCTATCTACTGTTGCCAATGCTTGATTTGATTCAGCAAGCATTTGTGTGAATGCATTTCTAATCTCTTCATTTAACAATAAAGCTACAATATCTTTTAAATTAAACTTATTACCCATTGTAGTAGTCACAGTGGTAACCAAGGTATCCCAACTAGCAGGCAAAGAACTCAGCAAAAGCAAACATAAAGCTTTTTCATCCAAACTCACTTTCAAAGACCTCAATTGTGTAGAAATTGAATTAAATTCACTCACATGCGATCTAATTGTACAACCTTCTTTCGTTTTCAAAAGAAATAATTTTTTCATCCCATGCATTTTATTTGCTCTAGAGGGTTGCCCAAAAGATTGATCTAAAGATTGCCAAAGTTCTGCAGATGTTTTACATTGACAAACATCAAATAAAATTGATGGTGAAATACATGGTCTAACAGTTGTCAAACATTTCAATCAAGAACATCTCATTCCCAATAGTTCATTCCAACAGGCATGACCTCCTTACCTCGAAGTGACCGGTCGAATTCTTTTCCAACAAGATAATATTCTACCATCATTTTCCATATTAGTCAATTACTTTGATTTAATTTTTTAAATTCCATTGCTCTTCCCATTTTCAAGAAAAATACAGCAAATAACTACAATAGCAAAAAATCATTTCCTCACAAACACAATGAATAACAAACCCTAGGCTATGATACCAAGTTGTTGGGATCGATTGGTGAAAAATCAGCAAGGGTTTATAACATTCACAGTTATTGTGCATTCATATCAATATATACGAGTAATGGAAACTACACAATATCAAAGCAAGAACATGAAATGAAAAATCCGGCAACATTCAATCTACAGAGCACAAAGATTTAATGTGGTTCAGTCACAAATCGTGACCTACATCTACAGGAGAATGTCGTGATACTTTACTTGCTGATTTAGGAAGATTACAAGGTGAAATCGAGCTCAAAATATCAATTTTGCACCAAGAACACCCAAATCCTTTTAGTTTACTTTCTCTTTAATATTTTCTCTCACTGAAACAGGGCACACAGCAAATCCTTTTGGTTTACTTTCTCTCTCTAAAATAGAGCTTACCAAGCCCTCAAGAGAAAACCCAATTACAACCTAATCTCTCTATCTTTTTCTCACTTTGTTTCTCTCTGAACAAAAGTGTTTGAATTCTTTAAAATAGCAAACTTCCTACAACACTACAACTATTGGATTAGATGAATCCAATACTCCAAAATAAAAGAGAGAAAAATCAAATAAGGCTCCTACATGTGTGGTTTGTTTTTACACAAGTAACAAAGAGAACCACTGCAATCGATGGGTATAGAGAGAGAGAGATTTAACATAAACATATGGGTATAGAGAGATAGAGAGAGAGAGAGAGAAATATTTAACATAAACAGAGAACCATCTGTGAGAGAGAGAGAGAGAACTCATGTCTCTTTGAAATCACAGATTTAACATAAACTTTCAAAATTCCCAAAAGGCCCTAAAAAAATTAGGGAAAAATAGATTAAGGAAAAATATATAGATTAAGGCTTGTCCCTAAACCTGGTTCAACATTACATCATCTTTAGAGAGCACCCATCAGATTTGGACACAGAGCACCCATCTGATTTTCTTTACGAAGAGGGTTTCATGTCCAACGTCTTCTTCATCTTCTCTGAGATTTTGAGTCCACCCTCTTGTTCCTCTATGCTTGCATTTGTGTATGCGCCTACTCTTTTGTGTTCCTATCTGAAAGAGTCGTGGTCACCCCCTCTCTCTCTCTCCATTTCTTTCCTTGCTAACTTTTTTTCTAG